GAAAGAGGAGCATTAAATTACCTGTTCCCTCCACCAAAACCTCAACCTCTTTCCATCTCCATAAAACTCTGTAATTTTCTTCTGTAATCAGTACCAAATCCTGCAATTACGATCATTAATTTCAATGGCCAGAGGGAACAAATGTGCATTAATAATACAATTTTATTTTCCACAGACTAAACCCACAAATTATGTAGGATCTTGTCGCTTGAGACCATTCAAATGCTCCACTTCAAATATGTGTTTAAGTGGCTGCAAAAATGAATGCCTAAGCAGGCAGGAAAAACATCATATTATTGACATTTTTTAATTCTAGATCAAGGTCAGTAGGGTGTTGTATTTTTCCATGTTGCTTGTGCATTTACGTGTGAATCACAGTCAGTAGTGAGGATGGCCTGACTGAAACTTTACTATCAATTTTTCCTCGCAGATTATATAGCCATATTTATATAGCCATATTTATGCCTTATGTGGATTTACTGAGAGCTCAGCTATTCCCTTTTGCCTGGGTGCAGAGCACAAGCCAATGTCAGAGGCAGCTCGGACAATTTAACAGCTGAAATCCCGTTCCCACACTCCTAACCCTCCTGTTTTCAAATGCATAGTAAAAAGATTAGCTGTGCAGATCAGGCTGATGCTATTTAAGCACCAAGAGGCATATGGTTTTCACTGTTAGCCAATTCCAAACACACAAATGTGATTTATTTCAATTTTAACACGCAGTTCTTGGGCTGTCATATACAGAATATAAATCCTGATCAGTGAACTTTTTAAAAAGCTTTAAAGCAACTAAAAAGAAGTTGATAGTATCAAGTGCTACAGGGAGCTTTGCCTCCTTCCTTACCCCACTGAGTACCCTGGTAACACATCTCATTCTTAAACAGAATGCTTTGCCATTGTTAAAAAGCTTTCTGTTAATGTTTTCAAAATCTTCCATTTCAGCCCAAAATCTACTGTGCCATGTAAATTCCAAATCCTTATGTGCAATTCATCAGCAGGCAATAGATCAAATAAGTTATTGAAACAGCTTCTGTGTCATCTGCATATTTTAAAGGTCACTTTGCTACTGATGAGAAGAAAACTGCAGGATTCACTCTCACAGAGAGAAGCTAATTGCTCAACATTCCATGTAAATATACTCAGACTCTTCCAAGCTGTTCATTACCATTTTTACCCTGACTGTAATGGAATTATTTAACATTTAAAACCATCAGACACACTCAACCACAAAGCTCTGCAGACATCACTGCATTTAAAACCTCGCTCCTTCAAGTGCAATAGACCAAATAGGGGTGTTCATTTTCCATTTTACAGCAAGTCAGAAAACCACTATTGCAGCAATTTTTGCATTTCCTAAGTCCATTGCAAACACTTAGATGTCTGTCATATAATATAGACTTTGTGCTATTGACTTCCTTCCCCCCCCCTCCTTTATCTGTCCATCACTCATAGCCTCAGTGTCAGTTTATATCACTATATTACCTGCTTCTCTCTCTCTCGCCTTTGTTTGCTGGTTTCTGTAAGCCAAGCCCTGGCATCTGTGAGTCGTATGTTTGACAACAGCGAGCTATTCAATACTTCATTTACACCACATGAGGGTGTTCCAAGCTGTGTACGATGCCAGAGTCAATCTGGAAATCCTCTCGTTTGGAAAGGAACCAAGGGGCAAACAGATACGTTATTTTTCCTCTGATTAAAACTCTTATGAGGGCAACCTGATACAGGAGACTGAAAGAAAAGAGATGAAACATCACAGGCTAGAAAACAGCTGGAAGAGTAGTTTTAAAGACATAATCGGATGTTCCCTGAAATCAAATAATCTTTACTGTGGACTTCCCTGAGCTTTGTCTTGTCTTTAAGGAATAATTCTAAATATAATATGAATTGATATTATTTCCATTAAAATCTCCTTAGGCGGGATTAAGTAATCATTATTCCCCTGCAGAGCTTTTCAGGAGCTTTCCATTGGCTTATTGCTCAAAGTTAATTGCCAAGTCAAGAAGAATTACTTACAAACATAAACAATAAATAATACAAAAATTATTCTCTTTTGTATACTGCTTATTCTGGAGTGTGCACAGATCTTTCTAATGTTTGACAGTTCTGTTAAGTGATGGCTTTAAATCCAGCAAAGGCTACACAAGGTAACTAATACCCTGTGCAGGTTAACAGGCATAATTTCTGTGCACAGCTTCGTAAAACAAACACATACATTAAAACAAACCCAAAGGTTTTCAGCAGCTTTCAACACAGCTGCAATGAGGGAAACATCTCCCTAAAAGAGAAAACTCTGTGGGTCCTTATTAAGATGGGCTGTTTTCCCAGGAAATCCCAGATGCCAAAGCCTATTATCAGCAATTGCTGTCTAATGAGTCTGGCTCTGGGATGGCCAGGCAGCCTTCTCTCTCCCACAGCCCTGTGTTCTCCCACAGTCTGCTCCCCGGCACTGCCACACCTCCACCTGCATTCCAACGACTGGAACACACCGTGCAAACTATAGGGTGCTTCTTAAATAAACAAGCCAAGCTTAATTAATTTCCGGGACCCAAAGGTGACTTGTAAGAGAAGACATTGCAGTGCAGTTTAAAAAGGACGCGTGATTCAGAGTGAGGCAGAAGGTAATGCAGGAGGCTTACGGCTTTGTGGGACAGCTGTCAGGTGTGCCAGGAGCAGGGCATCCTCTCAGTCAGTCACAGCTGCGCCCTCCACTGTCGGAGAGGTGGAAACCACCAGCCTGCCCCACGCACCGTGTGGGCTTGGGGCTGGCAGCCTTTCCCAGCTCTCTGTCAGCAGGGCCCAGAACCACCTGGATGCAACCAGCAGGAATACAAGCCAGGGAGCACTGGGAAAAGTCACTCACTCCGCTGAAGTCCCCAGGCCCTGCCAGTGACTTCACAAGGCACAATAGTAACTGAAAACAAATCCTGAAAACAATTCCTTGCTTTTGTCCTTTTTTCCCTTTACTCTACAACATTTACCATCTCCTCAGAAGCAGATGGAAACCACTTCTGCATAAAACCACCTTGCTGCTCAGCTTTCCAGTGTGTGTTGCTTTTACAGCTGTGTAATGCACGTATTAAAGACCGCATACAGCACACCCAGCTAATTTCACAGTATTACATTACATGTTATACACGACCTCAGATTCTGACTCAGGTCTGCTGTACAGATTTCACTGTGTCATGGATTTGCATTTAGCAACGTGACACTGTGGTTTTGGCTGGGGTACAGTTCATTCTCTTCATAGTAGCTGGTGTGAGGCTGTGTTTTGGATTTATGACAGAAACGGTGTTGATAACACAGAGAGATGTTTTGGTGCTTACACAATGTCAAGTCCTTTTCTGCCTCTCAACCCCCCACACCAGCAAGTGGGCTTGGGGGGCACAAGAAGCTGGGAGGGGACAGTTGGGACAGCTGACCCCAACTGGCCACAGGGATATCCTACACCATATGGTGTCATGTTTGGCACGTAAAATGGGAAAGAAGAAGGAAGAGGGGAACATTAAAAGTGACAGGGTTTTGTGTTCCCAATTCACCATTACACACTATGGAGCCTGGCTTTCCTGGAGATGACTGCCCATGTGAAGTTGTGAATTAATTCTGTGTTTTGATTTGCTTGTGCACATCTTTTGCTTTCCCTATTAAACTGTCTTTACCTCAGCCCACGAATTTTCTCACTTTTACTCTCCCAGTTCTCTACCCATCCCACTGGTTGAAGTGAGTTGCCAGCTGGGGTTAAACCACAACAAACATTCAAGACTCTCTTATAAAATCTTTTCTGTACCCACACAGCAAGCTTTGAAAATTTTACTCTTACAGGAAAGCTTTTATCTAACACTCCCATAGCCATCTTCAAGCATCTGGTAACTTGATCTGGGCCAAATTATTCCAGGGTTGACAGAACCCAAGTCCAGGCTGAATGATTTCAGCGTATATACAGTGGCAGCTGCTGCCAAAAATAATCACAGAATCAGAGAGCGGTTTGGGTTGGAAGGGACCCCTAAGTTATATAGTTTCAAACCCCCTTCTATGGACAGGGACACCTTCCACTTGATGAAGTTGCTGAAAGCTCCATCCAGCCTGGCCTTCAACCCTTCCAGGGATGAGGCAGCTGAGGTTGCTGCAGTCAAGTGCTTAATTTTTTTTTTTTTTTGGAAGTTGGTTTTGTTTGTTTGTTTTGTTTTTCCTCTTTAAAGCAGGGGTTAATTTTGAACCTCTCCGCAATTCTCGAGTAAACTGTATGCTACATGTTTATCCTGGTGCCGAGCAGGTGGAGTCAAACAGAGATATAAACTATCCTACACCCAATTTAGCTGCAGAAAACCAGGAGGATGGGGGCATCTGGGGGCGGGGATTTCCTCTTCCAGGTGCCCTGGTTCCCTCTCTGAAGCCGGCGTGGGAGTGCAGGGACCCTCCTTGTCCTCCGGGCAGGCAGGGGCCATCTCCGCACCCGCGCGGTGATCCCGGCGGGACGGGACGGGGCGGTTCGGGATGAGATGGGGCGGTGGCGAGCGGGCCCCGCTCCCCGGCGCTGCCGCTCCGCCTGGTGCTCAGCAGCGGGATCGCGGCTGCGCTGCCTCCGGTGCGTCCCCAGCGCGGGGGGCTCCCTGGAAAACCTCCCGGACAGGCTGGAAGCGCTCCTCAGCCAGCCGGAGTCCCTCGGGGATCGTCACCCTGCTCATCCTCGTTTGCGGAGGCGGCAGCAGCAGCAGGAACATCCTTCGGGAATGGGCGGGTCGGGGAGGGGCGCCCGCCGCAGGCAGCGGCGGCACCCCCTGAGCACTGTTCAGGGGCAGAGGGAACATCCTTGGCCAGAAGCAACCGTGGGGATTAAAATATCCGAGATAATAAAATAAGCTCCTTCGACAGCTATGCTAAGGGCAGTCATCCTCATCTATGAGCAAGGAGGAAAGTCCTGGCTCTCCACACCCCTTCGAATATTGTTACCCTTCTGGGTTTTGTTTGTTTGTTTGTGGGGTTGGTTTGTTTGTTCACGGGTTTTTCCCACTTTCTCTTTTTAAGGACTAAAAGCTGCCTTCTTTTGCAATGATGGATAGTATGACAAAAGGTAAACTACTTTGCTTCTACTACCCCACGCAGACAAGAAACGCTCAAATTAACATTGAGCCTTTCATGCATGCAAGGTCAGTGTAGTTTTGTAGGACAGAAAATGTTTTCAGTTCAGCACAGATGACAGATTTAGGACTGGTTGTAGTATAAGATAAATAATACAACAAAATACTCTAAAAAAGGCTGTTAGATCATTCTTTCCAGTAAGTAATTAATTTAATCTAAATTCCCCAGAAATACAGTGCTCTGAACCCTGACACTCATCGACCAGCATTTAGCAGTAAATAAAACAAATCCCATTCCTAAATCAGAATATCAATTTTGAGCCTGACATGATTGAATTTTAGCTGATTTGCATTAATTACAGAAATACCATTCTGGTAACAATAAATTTTCAAACAAGCTTAGAGGGCCTTTTTCTTGGCTGCCTGAAGGTAATGTAGGATCACACTGCTGCAGATTTGGTACCTTGCATTAGTGATCACACAGCTGCTGACCTGGCTGAGAACTGTACAGTGGGAGCTGAGCCAATCCCCCCCTCTGCACCATCACTTATTCATTAGTGTCAGTGCAAGGAAATATGTAGCCCAGGTAGGACAGGGGTAAGACTGGATCACCTCTTTCATAGGCTTAAACCACCTGGGAAACTTCCCCTGAGGTCTTGAAAGACAGCAAATGACAGAAACTCATTAAAACCAAAGGAGAAGAAAATTATTATATTCCTTTTTTTTTTTTCTTTTTCCTTAATGGGTATCAAAAATATAATTCCACAAAAGCAGACTCAAGTGTAAGCACTGTTTCAAAGGCACAGCACTTCTAAAAGGACTAGAATTTTCCATTATCTTTAGGCTTGTTCACTTCAATCCTTAAGTCTCTGGCCCACACGTGGCTTATGCATGAGCCCAGAGTTGACTGTTTTCTGTGACTTCACCAATGGCAACTGAATCTTCCTCACAAACACTTGCACCAGGCCTGCACCATGACCTTTCATCTCACCAACGCCTCCACGTGATCCTGTGCTGCAACCCCCTGCTGAGAGATGCGGATATTTTCTTTCTGTATAAAATGCTGATTGTTTTTTGTTTGGTTTCACAGTGATAGAAAATACTAAGTTGGTCATGTTAGTCCACAGTTGAAAAAAATATTTGCAAGAACGACTCGTGGAGGTATCAAAAAACTTGTGTGAAGCCACTGTAACTGTGGTGTCCATACGTCAGAGCTGTCATCTCTATGCACTCAGTAAAAAGAAGCTTCAACACTCTTCAGTCAGGCTGGAGGAGTGATGTGTTAATCTGCTCCCATTAAAAAGACAGGAAATTCCCAGTTGATCATCTAATTCAAATTAAGCAGGTGTAATCTCACGGTGACACAACGGTGTTAACTTAATGCATATATGGAGATAGACAGGATGAAGTGTCCTAAGGAATGCTCAGCTTCCAACAGTAATGTCATGTAGGCACTCTGAATTTTAATATGGGTCATTAACACCCAGCTCCTGCAGTCACTGTTCTAAAGGCAGAGCCTTTTAACTGTGTCAGTCTTCTGCAAGGTACACAAGGGGTGTAGGCAATGTTACAGGTTTTCTAGTTCGTGGCAGGATGGGGCAGTCCCATCAGACTCCACCATGGAGGTGTACTTTATTGGAGGTGGTGGTGGCTTGAAAGATGGAGGTCTGTTCATACTGAAACAGAAGAGAAAAAAGGCACTATCACACAAAAACCTGCATAAAAGACAGTTGTAAAATGATCACAGGAGGGGGTAGATTGACACTAAGAGCACCTGACACTAGCTCTTACATACTGCAACTTCCCTGATTTTGTTTTATAACCCCAGCACACCTCCTGGTATTCATTTGGCTTTCTCAGATCACACCTTGCAATTTTACTTTATTCATATTTTCAAAGAACAGAACATGGTTCTGATGAACTATTCAAAACCAGAGGTCTTTTGCTCACACTACTCTCTGAAGGTATATTTAATGACTTGTAACTCTTTTTTTGGTCAGTTTATAGGTCAAGATAAATAACGGTCCCATCCCAAATCATTAAAAAAAATCGACCCTGTTTTCCCCTTCTATATACAGGATTTGTAGTTGTGTTTTGAAAGGGTTTTCTAGAATGATAAATGATTCATTTTCACCATGAATTTTCCAACATTTAAGTAATATTAGTCAGATTGAAAATTGTTATCTCCTAGATACTACTTTTACCAGTAGATCTCTGAGTGTGTTAGTAGTGAATTAAACTTTGGTAATAATTACAAACTCAATGCTTCTTTGACTGAGATTAAGTTTCAGGTATCCTACTTTCACATATATTATTCACAACTCAAATAGAGCTGCCCTAGAAGTACAATTTCATTAAAACATGTCCTCAAGTCACCATGGAAAATGAGAGAGCAAAAGCAGCTGGCAGGGAGGCTAATAGAAGTGGGGGGCTCTGGGGACAAAAATCGACTGTTATTCTTCCCTTGCACCCTGAAGCTGCACTGCAGCTCTTTTCTTAAAGTTTATTTTAAAGATAACCCACAAAACAGATGAAAGGACTGAAAACACTCCACTTTTCATATTACTGTATGAAAAAAAAAGCATTACCAATCCACGTACTTAAAGGCCTTGTGTCCTGTGAGTCGTCTCAAATGAAAAGGTGTAAGTCCAAACAGCTGGGTTAGAGTTTGTGCTGTCCATCTTGCCCCGCCTCCCACCCCTGTGGCTCCCCTCACTTGTACTTACATCTCTTTCTGGTACTGACACCATTTCCTGATGCCCACAGCTATTAGGGAACTGCAGAAGAGGAGCAGGACGGCTACCACTGTCGGCCAGGGGAAGCGACTGGTGTTTGTGTTCCTCTCACCTGTAGGGGACACGCTAGTCAGACCTCATCCTGATGTCCTCAGAGAGGAGGGAAATGTGGGCTTGCTGCCTGTGCACATTGTTCCCCCCAGCACAGTGCTGGTGTCAGTGCAGCCCCAAATCCCCACCACACGGTCACGTTCCCAGGCTGAGGATCCCAAACTCTGGCTGTTGCAGCTCTGATTTATGGACTTAACCCACTTTTGTTCTGACTGGGACTACTGAGCTGGTTTCAGCCACCCATCAGATCACATGATGAGATTATTCAGGCACAGTCCAGCAAGCGTTTCATCCAAAACCCATTGGCTTTCTCTGTTCCCCTGTGAGCTTCTCTGTGAGGAGCAAGCAATTCACAGCTGGGCACAGCTACCCACCACAGCTGTCCTTCCCACGGGTTATTTTTCACACCATTGACACCAAACCCTGCCAAAATGTCTGGCCAAGGGCTCAGCTGCATTTTGGGGAGAGCTGTTGTTGGTGATGTAGCTTCCCTGCCCCATTCCAGCCTCTCCCCACCACAGTGCTTGGATCCCACCCTACCCCCTTCTGCATAGGCACCCTTGGGGGTGCTGGTGGCTGACAGAGGTGCCCTCAGAGTCCTGGGTATGGAAAAGGGGAGAAGGAGCACAGTACTCCTCCAGCTGCTGTGGAGGGTGCAGCAGTGGTCTGGGTGCCAGAGGGGGCTGGAGCACAAGGTCCCTGGGTGATACAGCTTGGTGTCACCTCCCTGTGCATCACACACCTGTGCAAGGCTGGCTGTACTGGTACGTCACCCAGCCTGGGTCTTACCCACTGTGGCAGCCTGTGCCGTGGCCTGGCACCAAGTTCACCGCACCACAGGAGCCATAAGATTTCCCTGGGGCACAAGAGCGTGACTGGAAGAAAACATGCACTGGAGCTTTGCTTGCACATGGAGGGAGAAGGCTGGAATGCCAAAAGCCTGCAACAGGCTGCAGTGTGAAGACACAGCAGCTGTGACTCCTTTTTCATCTCTTTTCCCTTTTTTGAAATCCTCTGGTCAAACGGATATGATGCTCCAGGTTTTGTGCTTCTGCAATGGCATGCTGAAAGAATGGGGATTTGTAGGATAATGTCTCACCAGTACTGTTGAGTAGGCTGCTGGCAGTAAAGAAATCTTTCCCTTTGGTAACTGAAATTGTCTGGTCTGTGATTCTGTAGAACAGATTACCTAAAAAGGTATGGGCACAGAATATTTTTAGTAACTTTTTTAAAATGAAGATTATCTTTTGAACCCACTGTTATTCACCCTGCTGAAAACTGGAAATCAAATTCCAGAATCAGGGTGTCAAAATTCTCTTGGCAAGATGCCTACATTTTTGGCCTAAAGCCTGGTGTTAGAAAAAAAATGTCCTTCTATCAAATTAAAGAATATTAGAAGAAAAGAAAGGGAGGAAGGAATGAAGGAAGGAGAGAAGGAGGGAAGGGAGGGAGGGAGGAAGGAAGGAAGGAAGGAGGGAGCGAGGGAGGAAGGAGGAAGGGAGGAAGGAGGGAAGGGAGGGAGGGAGAAAGGAAGCAAGGAAGGAATCCATTAGAAAACACCTTTTAAAATGTTACAGCAAGCCAGCATTGAGCTGTGCAGTGGTCTGAGAGAATGATAAGCTCTTTACCTCTTTGATGGTAATGAAAAACCTAAAGTTATTAAGTGGCTTAGCAGCAGCACAAAGAGTCTGCCTTTGTCACAACTCAGCAAAACCTCAGTCTCCTCTGTCAAGTGCTGTGTCTGAACCACAAAAATAATCTATCATCTCTTCGTAGGCAGTACTTTGCCCTTCCTAATAGAGCTAAGCTACCTGTGTCTGAATTGGTGCTGCCTAAGGATACATTTCTGTTTTTTCTAGCCACCTCCATGTTCACAGCTTCTACAATAATACCTAAAATCCACAACTAGACAATGGCACAGCATTTCCAGAGCTGCCACGGCACTTACCGTGTGTCAGGGTTGTATTCTCAGAGGAGCGAGTGGCATTACTGAGGCTCTGTGAAGATTCCGTGGTGGAATCATTCAAATCTGTACAAAAAGAAATAATGTCCTTCAATTATCTTCCAAGCCTGTACCTGTGACTGCTTCATTAGGCTCAGTTGTGGCTAGTTTGTACTCTTGGCCTTTCTCTGATGCAAACAACAAATGAAATAATAACAGGAACCTGAAAGTCTCTGGTAATTGCTGATTTACAAATCCAAGAAAAAACCCAAAACCGCTGTTTAAATGATATGAATGAAACACCAGAAAGAACCAGGAAAATCTTTTTCTTATTCGATGCTGGCTTTGATTTGAAATTGAACAGTGAATTGTGTGTGTGTATATCTATCTATATATCTATCTATCTGTAGGTATGTATGTGTGTATGCAGTAAAAAGCCCTATGAAAACCTATCCAAATTTAGGGCACTCTAAAAAGTCACTGAGACTTTTGGATATTATTTCAGTTCTTTTCTTCTGGTCATTAGATGTTAAATTTTATGTGAACAAGCATGGCAGATCTGGCATTTTATGAAGTTATATATACATTATAAAAAAAAAAAAAGCAGCACATGCTCTTAGAGATTCCCTAGCACTGTGCTCTGTACAGCACACTGATGAGCACTACTTATTCTTATTTACATAATGGCTTGTGTTAGAGCCTCAGACGACTGAAATGATGATGGTAATCGCTGTTGTAGGAGCCCAGTGGCCCTGGGAGAGCACAGGGACACATGTTGGTATGCCTCAGCAGGCTCCCTGGTGCCCCTGTGCTCTGAAATTGCCCCTCAATTACAGCTGCTGCACTGAGGACCCTTCAAGGCCATTATCTCTTAGCCAGTGGTCAGGCAGGCCCAGGTGTAGGGAAGCAATGGCAGGGATGTGGGGATGAGTGGTGCAACGCACGGTATATCCTGCAAATATTAGTGTAATTCAGCATGCTTTTAGCAAAGATTGCCACCAGCAAGCTGTGAAAGAGCGGAATTGTGAAGCACTAGAAGTTGCCACAAGGTTGTGGTCTAAATGTGTGGCTGTGGGTTGTACGTGGGTAAATAAGCACTGGCGCGTTACCAAAAATATATTCAGAAAACAGAAAGCGGCTGCTACATTTGCACTTCAGCTGAAAGACGACTCCCATGCAAATGCAAAAGCACACTGACAATTCCTGCCTGCTCCAAAAGCACAAAGACAAACCAAGATTTTAAAAAAGAAAGTCACTTTGGGCTTCTTGCTGCTAAGCAGAGATTTTCTAAAGGGAAAGACTTCTGAAAAAAATGTTCACCTTAGGGTGATTTTTTTATTGATTTATTGATCTTTAATGAGGCTGCCTTTCAATGTTCTATTAGCCAGCCTTTATTGCTCCATATTATCTCATTATTTCATTGCTACTCTGCGATTTTATTTAGCTTCTGTGGCAATTTATTTCATCTATAAACTACCTTCAGTACTTACTACATTTGCCTAGCAACTCTCTCAATTGTAATGTTATTAAAATAAATGTGTCTAATGAAACCAGGGTACTCAAATGTTTTTTCATTCCTCTTTTGCCACTGCAAATCCTTGACAGCTTGGAAACTCGGGCTTTTGTCTTCTAACTCAGCAGAATTCAACAGGGAAACTGTTTCTGTGAAGTATTGAAAAGCTGGTACAGGTGACTCCACCTGACTTTTGGCTGCCCTCAAACAAGCACTACACAACTCCATTTGAAAGCCTATCACAGGCTAGAACCTCGACTGAGATAGATGAATAAACTTTGACAAAACATTAGGAGCATTTTTGTATTTCAGCTTAGTTTGCAGGTGGAGCTCCGTAGCTTCAAGTGCACTGGCTTGTTTTGTCCTGAAGCCAGAGCAGCGATGAACAAAAATACATAAATCAGAATCTAGACAGGATGTCACCAGCTCCAGGGAAACAAAACTGTTTTCCCAACTAGCAAAGGGAAGTTTTGAAGAAGTTAGTGTACGGGAGTCAAACCTGCAATGTCTGATGCCAAAAGGCAATTTATTTAACATTTGCCTTTAAGCCAGGTGCTAAGATTTCCAGAGCTCAGCTAGCCATTTATCTGATATTTAAACACAGATGGTGGCTAGCGAGTAGACCTCTATTTTCCCAAAAGAACTATTTCACATTTACTAAAAAGAGTTCATCTTTCTTAAAAACTGTCTCATTTTTGGAAAAAAATATCATTAAGCCATCTAAACAAACCTGAGGAGGTAAAATGCAGCTGTAACCCATCACTCAAAGCCTGAGCTTCTCTGGGCTCAGACATAGAGCAACAGTGGAAGCTAAGCAAAGATCAGGCTGCAGTTTTAATAGCCTTGGTTTTGTTTTCCCTGCTCCTGCTCTTGCCTCTCTATGTCCACTCTTCCCTTGAATCCGTTCCCAGATGTCTCTTAGATTTTCATTAAAAACTTGCAAAATAACAGGAACTGAACCAAACCAGTAGACTAAAACAGCAGGATTGGACTTGGCATCCTGACTCAGCTGCAGCCCAGAGGATTTGCTCGAGTAGCTGATGGTGGCACCAGTGTGAGAACCAGAGCGAGCCAGAGAGGAGCAGCACTAATCCAAGGCTGGCATACTGCAACTGCCACACGTTAGGAGCAGTGGTTAAAAGGCAGTTGTTTCCTGGGTTACTTACAGAAGAAAAATGGCTCAGCTCCAGCTTGCATTATGCCTTTGACCTCATGCCTCCTCAGCCAGTGAAGATGTATAATTCAGCGAGGAGAATCTTCTCTGTTCACTTTGTATATTTATAGCCTTTGTCATTAAATTTTTTGTTGAGACAGAAGGGCTTTCAGTCCACTTGGACAAGCAAGTTTGCTGTTCTGCTCTCAGCCAGGCAAGTGTCTCTGCTTTGGGGATAGGGACGGCAGCATGAGACGCAGCAAACTTTCATTTCAGTGCCACTGCAGTCTGTGTTCCTGCCTTGGCATATCTCCATCTGGCCTCTGTGTGCCCCAGGGCTTTATGTTGAGTGATTCAACTCCCACAACGAAGCCTTGTGTTTAGTGTCTTCCTCCAGTATTACCCCAAACACTGCCCTTCACATTGCTCTCTTATCTCTGCTAGAGAGTAACTTTAAGGTTTAAGGTTACAAATCCGCTCTTGCTGGTGGCTACCTCCGTGGTGGATCATTCCTGAGCCCAAGCTGTGGTGCTGTTAAGGAGAGGAACAACAACTTGCCACTTTGCCTCCTCCTTGTGCTGCCTGCACTGCAGTTTTGCATGTGCTTCTTTGTGTCCAGTGACGAGTGTGTGCCACGTGTGTGTTTTTTCAGGAGCTGTGGCAGTGAGCACACCTCTTCTTTCTGCCCCAGCACCCTTCCATCTGCTGCCTGAAACCAGCCAGTCCTACAGGGATCAACAGCTGGGCTTCAAAAGAGACTTTAAAGAAAAGGGTGCTTGCAGACAGGCTGAGCTGCAAGAAAATGCACTCTGCTGGGCATTAACCCTGTATTTTGAGACCCGAAGGTAGGAGGTTCTCAGCTTCCTCTGCTCTTGATTCAGGCTGCTGCTGCTGCACTGTCCAGCTGCTGGTGCATGTACCTCTCCCTGAGGAAGAGAGGTTAAACCCTTCCAAGCATTAACCTGCCCTCCACTGGCCTCGGTGTTGCCAACTCAAAGAAGAAATTACTGACTTATCTGTTGTAAATATTTTGTTTATTGTTGCTTTGTATTTGGACTTCTGCGCTCTGATGTTTGGGTTGCACTTTTTCTAGCTCTAATGTAATTCTGTTTTGGTATGATATTTAATTAAAGAGAATAGGTATTCTTTGTAAACAATACAATAACACTAATTAATATATACTAGAAGTCTGTTCAGTTGCCGAATTTAATGCATATATCCTAAATGGAGCATTAAAAAAGGTAAAATCAAGACAGCATTTTCTCATATATTTACTTTTGAACTGTGGTTACACTGACTGTGGTTAGTGTACTTCCTAGTGTATAATGCACTAGGAAAAGGCCTTCAGGAGACAGTAAATTGTTTGTTACAAAAAGTGCAAGATGGTTATTGTGTTTATGTGTCTTTCTCCTACGTTGTTGAAACAATAGAGAAAACATTTTGGCTTAATTGATTACCTTTTGTTGTGGAAGCAGGAGCCAAGTTTGCTTGACTTGTGAAATCCAGAGAGGCCAAAGATGTCGACTGGGGCTCTAAAGACAAACAGATTACATGGTATCACATTTAGCTGATAGGTTCTTTAGAAAATAATATTAATAAATCATAAAACAACCTAGATTGAAGCTTGTGGCAGCTGTTGGGTAGACGCAGACTCTGCAGCAGAAATTCTGTTATCAGACTCAACGTTCAAAACACATCCCACAAACTCAGGGGGCACTCACAAATGGCTGATGTTATTAATACTGGCCCTTTCCCGTGGACTGGCTGGGGACATCATTTATTTATGTTTTTATGCACAGGGTGCAGTTTTAGTGCTGTGGGATGGAACATGCCCTTGATAGTGGTGCTCCCCCATTTATCCAGGTCCTTTCCAGAAATGGTCCATGACAACATGCCACAGCCCTATAAGCCCAGGAGGTCACCTGTGGGTTTCCCTCTCCGTTGCTGAAGAGAGTTTTATGTAGTTACCCATGTGCATACTCTGGTAAAACAGAGTTAGCTATCTTACATAACTAATGAATGGCAATGACGTGCTGCTCTTGGATCAAGGAAAAGTGGTGGCTTTAACTTTTCTGTCACATGCACCTCTCTGTCATAATAGGACAAATTTATTTACAGGTTCTATAGGCATAATATTCCATTTTATAAAAATATGTAAGAATAAGATGTAATATTCAGGATGCCATTTTAGATGCTGTCCTAACGTGACAGTTTTAGGAAGATTTCTGTCGGATCTCTGCTTGAATAACTTCACAGCTCACAAATTCCCACACAGCAGGACACAGGTACTGTCAGTACCAGAGCACACTGACCTTTCCCTGGCACACCTCTGGCTCTGTGTACATGACATTTAAGCAGTGGTCAAGCAGAGATCTTACATATATTGTATAATGAAGGCTTCTATTTTTTTCCTCCTTACCTGAAGCAGTCATGACAGCTGATGTAAGTGTTGAGTTACCAAGGTCTATAACAAATCAAAGCAAACAGCATAAGGAAGATGTTTATTCTGCTTTAGGAAAGTGAGTGATTTAAAGGTTCAAGAGTGAGAAAGTAGATCACACTTAATTTCCAAATAATCTTTCAATACACAACTCAGCTCAGTGGTCTGGAGAGGGACATGAAGCACTTGAAGTAACTGTGCTGTGAAATCCCTAGGGAAACAGGTTTTTGGGGGAAAAATTTTGGAGCCCCTGGCACCTCAACTTAAAAAGCGCAAGTGAATCACATGGGTTTATTCCATACAAAGAGAGGCACCTTATTAGCACAGGTGTAAATAACATATATGACCTGCTGGTGGCACCTGCACAGCTCCATCCACGAGGCACTTCAGAGGCTGCAACTCTGACAGGAAATCTCAGAGACCACTTGCACTGAAAAGTGCTCACTGAGTCCTCAGAGAAGAGGATGGGAGTTATTCCTTGTAATTAAAGAACTGTTAACCACCCAGACAAGTGCGACAAGTGTGGCAGAGACACCATCCTGCCCAAGCAGTATGTATATCCTGAGTTAAGAGCTCTCTCACTTTTTTCAGCTGTTTATTTCCCCAGGAGAAGAGGCAAAGTACTCCCTGAGTAGGTTAGGAGGATGGATTGTCTCCCCAAAGGGCTCCATGAAGGAGATAATCCATGGAATCTCACACACTCCATTAGAAAAACACACCTGGGAAGGCAGCCAGAAAGTACCTCTGTCTGGTTGGGCATGTGTGGAGGGCACTGGGTAGGAGCAACCTTCTGCAGATCAGATCTTAACATACCTAGGTAACTGTCAACTCTCCAGATGCTTTCCTGTGCAAGCAGTTGTACCGCCTTTGACTGCTGCTTTTCCATTTGCATTCCGTCTTAGCCTTGCCTGCACTAGCAGGGATTTTGCAGTAGCTGGCTGACACAAAGGACTCCTTACCAAAGGTGCAGCAGGTCTGAAAACCAGGTCAGTGGGCACCTTGAGGTGTGCCCAGCTCCCAGTGAGTGTCTGCAGAGTGTGCAGGGTGAAGCCAAGTGGTGACCTGATGCAACCTGCCAGGGTTCCTTTGAGAGATCACCTTGCAGAGACTAATGGAAAATAAAGTCTCTCTCTCAGGGCCCCCCAATACCTGGCATGACTTTCTGGAGTGCAGTGAGGTACTGGCTGAACTCCCAGGGCTTGCCACAACCTGCACTTGCAGAAGTTGTTACACAGAAACCCACCCTTCCTTTCATGCCTTCTGTCTACAACATTTCCCTGACACACTCCCGTAACCCACTGCTACAGTGCAGCTGCCTCCCGTGAGGAGCAGAACAAACTGCTCCGGGACAGACGTCTGCAAAGGGCCTCAGCTGAGGTGTGGAGGGAACATTTGTCTGTCTGCAATAAGCTGATAATAAGACAAACTTGCAGAGGCAGAGCACAGATTTACCACATTTACACAAATTAAGAAACATTCTATCAGTTATTTAATTAGGCAAAAGTGTTGAGGATCTTGGCTGTGTACTTAAGCAGAAGGTGGAACCGTTAGCAGAGCTGTTATTTTTAATTATTAGTTCAGTGCTGAAAGAGCTATATTCAAATGCCAGCTGAAGCATCAGAAATAACATTATGTGCCCCTCAAGGCTGGAGTTTAATTATACTTGGTCTTAATTATGATAGATTACATCACCAAAATATCTGTTTATTGTATTTTCTCCGAAGTCATAGCTGCAGGAAAGGGTTTTTTGCTAGCTATTTAGGGTAGTAAGTGTTACAACAGCTTTAGGAATTTATAGACACCTCTAACACAACCCAAGTTATTTTATTCTTCTCTAATTTATCCTACCTTCTGAAACCGTGGTGGTAAAAGCTTCAGATGAGGCTTCATTAGACTTATTGTCTGTGAAGAAAGAAAAGAGAAAGATGAAACCAGGTCTTTAAAATAGTTATAAAGGCAGAAATTTAGTTTGGGTTTGTGTCGTGCTGTGCACCTTTGCAGAAGGCATGGCTGAGAATTAATGTGGTTCTTTCCTTTCTGTCATATCTAAATACATTAATGTTTTTATACCGAGTGGATCTATCTTAGCATTAGCATGACCTGCAGGCAAGAACTTGGACCGCTTTAATTGACGGCTCTCCAATTTGAAGATATTTCTACAAAACTACAAGTTGGGTGAAATGAGTAACTTTGGAGAAAACGGTGATTTCTCTCCCTTCCCTATGAAGCTATGTTTCCAGAGGACTCAGCCCTGGCTTTTGATGCAGTCTTACTTCGTGGAAAAAACCTACCAATAAGCATATCCCCAGCCACAAGTGAACACAGCCGAGCTGCAAGCAGTTGCCAAGGTACGTGATGTACCAGTAGATGCTGCTAAGGGGTCAGCAGCTCAGTCCTGTCATCTGTGCAGCAAGGAGTATACATAATAGTTATAATAATAATAATAATTAAAAAAAAAAGGTGTCACTATGCATTTGCACCTGAAGAGGAGACCTGCACAAGAGGGTGCTAAAGGAAATCTGTCTGCTCTTCTCACCAGCCCCCCTGCATTCTCAGAAGTGTCAAAACCCTCTTTAATGCTGAGTCTCCCACTTTCACTGAAAAAGCAGGAGAGTATTTATCCCCACTTCCCTAACCATGTAGCTAATCCTTATAGTACAGATTATAGGGGAGTTTCCCCATCATCCCAAAATGGTTCGTCCTTTCGCAAGTTTCACTGAAGATGTATAACACAGCCCTGATATGAGGGTTTGGATTTCCAGGGAGCTGCATTGCACACATGCAGAGTTTTTGCCACAAGTGCTCAGTGGGAAACACATGATTATAATAGCTCACTGGTGCCATGTGGCTATGCTAATCTATTTTTGGGTATGGGAAGTACAGCAAGATACTGCCTAAACAAACAACAGGCATCTTCTGTTTGTGCAGGAGTTTCTTAGCTCATTTAGAGGTTTAAGCAAAGACTTGAGCTAAAAAACCTGCCAGAAAGTTCAAGCTGTGAGATGAACTTGTACCATAAAGCTTCCTTACTCTTGGCATTTCTTCAGTATTTTAAATAACAGAGAACACATGTGTTTGGTGTTCTTAACATCTCAGATGTGTTTTATCTACGAAAAACCTACCGAATGAAACAAATATTTCCTCTGATGAAATATTCCATGTTTCACTCCCGAGGGAAGAAAACAGGCATGCACACGAGAATGTCTTGTGTGTCTCTTGGGTCCCTTGCAGCACCAGCGTTGATCTCATCTGATAGAAACCTTCACTGTCTTGCAAGTCTTCTTGTACAACAAGGATTTCTTGGGGGAAAAAGAAAAAGACTCTCTTGTTCACTCCAGACCATAAATCAAAGCTGTGCATAATATTGGTACTGAAAAGCAAGCTCATACAGATGCAGGTTTCTTTGCTGAGACACTACCAAAGATCTGTCACGAACAGTGTGGTTATACCAAACCATGGTCCCCATCCCTTGCAATTGCAGGGGTCTGTGGTCCCGGCCATTTGCCATCTGTTCCCTTTGAGGAGGTCTGACACTCTCCCCTTCACCCAGACAGACACCTACAGGCTCTCTGTGGCAGGAACAGATGAGCGACCACCACTTCTCTTGGCAATCACTTCTACAGCTGTGCCATTGTCCTGTTGACAGGTTGCTTTACCTCCAGGCTGCTCCAGCAGGTTCACTCTGTCCACGTACCACACGAGGCTTGGCTTGGGAAACGCCTTCCTCACGACACAGCTCACGCTGGGCTGTGGGGCAGGAAAAGGCAGTTACTGGGTTAGCCTCCAATGTCCTCACCCTGCTGCCAGCTTCCAAATTCCCTTATGGACAGTGCTTGATAACTCACAATCCTGCTCTGGAAGGAAACACTTGCTTCCTCTGTACTGTGCTTCTTGCCCACTCCTTTCATTTTTCTGGCTGTGGGCACTGTTGAATGAGAGTCCATGGACACCCCCACTGCTCTGGATGACAGGGCTCCAACTCTCTCTAACCCTGTCTCTGGCTGGAGAGATGTAGGGTGATCCCCACCCTCCTGTCCCCGGTGATGAACACCCACATGGAAAAACACTGGAGTCGGTAATGGGCAGCGTGTGTATGGAGAATTAAACACCTTCTGATCAACATCCTTCATTAGGCAGATGGAGAGACAAATCCCATGAAAAGGACTGCCTAGCTGTTTAATATACAAAATTAGATACCTTTGTAGTGGGCATAATATGCAGGAGGTTTGCAGAAATTGATGCTTTAGATGCAGTAGTCCTGACTCCATGCCAATTGCTCCAAAAATCTTTGTTTGTGCTCCACTTAATTTTTCATCAAGCAATAGATGGGAAGAACCTCAAAGTCAAGGCTGGATGAAGGGTTGGGCACTAGCAAGGTGGGAGGTCTCATCCTCATGCTGCCTGGATGTTCCCAATTACATTTATTTAGCAGGTTATGACACTGCTAATTACTAAGCACTGTTATAGGAGAAATTGACTCGTCCTTTTAAACAGAAAAAAAGAAAAACAAATCACGTGCTACTCATACAGCGCAAGGCCCACTTGCTCGCACTTTCGAAGAAAGTGGCTCCCACATTTAGTTGAAAGCAAGCTTGATGTATTGCAGCCAGCAGAGTCAATCATTCAGTACAAAGACTGAAACTACCCAGCTGAAACTCTTTTCCTGCCACGGTAAATAGCATCTGAACTCGTAGTGTAATTGCTTTCCCCCATTTTCTCTTCATTATTCCCTTATTTTTCAGGCAAGTTTAGGTCATAATATTTTTATAAATGCTTCCTATGAAGAAATATAAATCCAATATCCTCACTAGATTGAAGCCCTGTAAGAAAAAGAAGAAAAGAGAAGTAAAGGAGTTGGTGTTTGTTTGAAGATGAAGAAATGACTGGACTATTGTCCAGTCCCATGTTGGCAGCACCCTTGCTCTGTTCAACAGGACAGTGCAGACAAAAGCCTGCAATGTCCAACACCACACATGAAAAGAGGTCATCAGGAAAATTACACCAGTCAGTTTTGCAGAACCAGCTTGACTCACGGCTTGTCTGAAGCAGATGGATATGGCTAGTATAAGGTTCTGCCTGCCCATAAGATCTATTTCCAAGGAAAACCTTAATTTTCACAGATCAAAAGCTTCAACTTGGAGAGATGGAACAGGAAGCAAAGCAGCCTAGCTAGTAGCCAGAGTGGCTCGCTAGTCAGTCATATGGGCCACAAACATGTTTTAGGCCAAGTATGGCCACTGCAGATCTGCAGACTTTTAGATTTTGCCATTACCAAGCATGTGAGAAAACAGAGCCCCTAAAACATATGGGTAATTGCTCATCTTTAAAAAGACACTGAGATCCAGTTGCTCTATTGGCATCTGACTGCCCCAGATGAGATACACTTGCAGTGTGATACATTATGCCCAACACACTCACCACCTTTTCATCAGCATGTTTGGCCGTGTCTGTGCTCCAAGCATTGCTCCCACAGCCAGCACCTGCTCCTCCCTGTCCCAGGGGGCTGTGGGACAGATAGAAGCTGCCTCCGTCTGACTCCTTGGAGCATCATCCTGGTTAGCAGGTGACTTTTTTCAGAGAGGGATTTTATGTGGTGTGGAGAGAGCAGCTCGAGACTGTTGGGTAGTAGCTGACAGATGGGGAGGGAAAGGGAGAATTGCAGCCCCCTGCAAACCACATAGCCTCTTGATCTGAAGTTCTGGAGTCTTCCCTAGGGCTAACATAAAATCAGATTTTGACCACACAGCAGGGAAGCCCTTAGCTAGGTCACAGTTGTGCTCACTGAAGCAGTTCACTGCTGTGAGGATGGAAAGGGCGTGAACAGCTGACATTAAGTCATTACCGTGCCCATTGCCCTGTGTGCTTGGTCAGTTTAGATGTCCCACCCATGTCTGATTCTGCTCAGCTTGCCTGGCTGGGGTGCTGTGGTGACTATAAGGCAGTCACAGGCCTTACTCTTTGCTCCAAAATTGCTCACCTTCTGCGAGGTGCCAGCCGAGCCCTCCTGCAGACTAACAGAGATCTCGGGGTAAGCTGGAAAGCAAACATATATGTATTACTGAAATGGACACTGAAGATCACAGCTTCTAATAAGACACAGCAGCCTTGTTTCATAGAAAGGATGGAAATTAAATCCTAACTCTACCCACACATGTAGATTTGAGGTCAAGGAAGTGGTTTACAAGCATATATCAGCAGCTACTGCCACAGGATTCGTGATGTATTTCACTGCCTATCTAAACTGGGTGGCTTTGCTGGGGAAACAAGATGAAACTGTCCTGCAGTCACGGCTCTGGCAGCAGAGCCACCCTTCCTGGGCCCAATGAAACAAAACACACCCCAGTTGTTGGTTCCTCTGGGTGCTTGCCAGTCAAAGCCATCTCCAAAGGCTTTAGGCATCCCCAAAGACATTGATTGGTTTCGGGTGCCAGCCACCCACATGCTGTCACCTGGACAGATGTGTGACAGTGTCACACCACAGATGCTTCCTGCCTTGCCAGGAAGCCCAGAGGTCACCTTCACATCAGAGCAGCAGGCTGTGGATGACCACATCCACACGGAACGGAAAAAGGGTTTTCTTTTGGTTTTGCAGCATTTTGGTTCTGGGTGCAGCTGACTGTATAAATTAAAGCTATCAGGCTCTATAAGCCTTTGGGATCCCTGATTTGGAGTAATATTAACTGACTTGTTAAGTAAGGACTGTTGAAACTGTGTTAATATATAAAAAAAATCTCAAAAACCTCAGATAAATTGTACTTCTGGCCTTTTCTGACCCTTGAAACTGGACTGGAAACAAGTGCTGTCCTTGGATTAGTTAGAAGATCCGTAATTCTTTCTCTTTCCAACTTAAATCTCAGTTTATTCTCTACCATTAAGACAGTTTTCTCTTTTTTCTTACCCTGTTATATTCCCTTACATTCCCCTCTGAGCTGAACTGCTCAAGTTTCCCTGTTGTATTATATAGCCAATCCTCTATGAACTCTCCTGATTTCTTTTTTTTTTTTTTTTTTTTTAATTTCCACTTTTCTGCTTAATGTGACTGATGGATTATGCCTAGTCATGACCTGTATTTAATTATCATGGCCTTATGGTTTTCTGAACTCAGGGTACTTTCGGATGAAATTTCTTTTTTTTTTTTCCTTTTTTCCTTTTTTATTTTTCCTTCTTGGTTTTGCTCTTTACTCATTTGTTTGGTTTATTTTGTTTTGTTTTGGGGGGTAGATTGGTAGATTCTTCCTATCAGAAAATGAATATATTAAGATTTACTTCTTGTTTCTGCCCTGCCAAAACTGTACATATGGTAGTGGAGCTGGCAGAAGACAAGCATACTTTTTCAGATGTAAGAAAAAGTCTGATAAATGGGATCTTCTAATCTCAGCAAAAAGTTGTCTGGGAGACTAAATGATGTCTAGTCTAGTGCATGATCTTCCTTTTGTTTTTTTGATGAGAATGGGCACACTTTTCCACATCTGTATTGGAAGCTGTCTTCTGCTTTTTCAGAAGACAAGTTTGCTGGGGAACTGTCATGCACAGCTCTCATGCATAGCTCTGGATAATCTAATAGATCTTTTCCAATTAACATCTCAGCCTCTGTTAACATTTTGACATTCACTTGTCTTGCTAGGATATTTACCAGTGTTTTGGTTCTAGTGAAAATTCAATATTTAGTTCAGCAGTTTCTGCTGCTGAGCTTTTACTGTTACAGAAAGGGAAAATCAATATTTGGCGAAGTTAGACTTGAAAAGGCCGTATGTTTTCTGAGAAACTTGTATCTGAAAGAACTCTGTTCTAGAAAAGAAATATTTTAAAGTATTTCACTCCAAAAGTACCCCCTTAAAAAAAGCTCTCTTGTTCAAACATCTGTCTTTACTCAACTTATGAAGACTCTCAACTTCATTGAGAGGCTTTTTCAGGCCTTTCCCATCCTCTCCTGCCCAGCTCTCAACTGTGAGGAAGTGCCACTTCATCGCCCCTCAGACTTGGTCTGTCTCTGCTGTGTTTAGCCCTGCCTGAAGCATTTGTCAGAGTGGCCCTGCACAAGGAGCTTTCTGCAGGCAACATCACCTGCCCTCTCCCCTGTTTTGTAACACCCATCCTGTGGGGTTCAATTACATGAGAGTTTGTGGGGGGGGGATTGCCAGGATGGGAAAATCTCCCCAGTTTTCAGCTGGGCTTTGCTCTCCAGCTGTGTCCTTGCTAATGGCCAAGACTACAGATATAGCCAATATAATGTGCTGGTGACATTGCATACACATACTATCTCTAGATTCTGTCCCAGCCCTTTGAGGATGGATCTAACTGCTAGGACATAAAAGTTCATTTCTTCGTTCCCTGGTAAGCACAAGGAACAAGAGAGGTGTTGTTATCTGAAAAAGCTCTTTGTGCCTGAATGTCACCGGGAGAGTTCTGGATTATTCTGGCCACTGTCTCTGCCTATTCTGCCCTGCCAGTGGTGCACAGGTGTGTGTGCTGGTGCAGGGGAGGCTCTAAACCCTCTGCTCTTGGCCTCACATCCTGCTGCAGGACAAGAGAGGTAAATGGAGAAAGGCTGGTCAGTCTGATGGAGTCATAAGCAGCATCACTTCAGGGAATATTAAGAGAAAAGAGTGACACTGGATGCAAAACAGTTATTTTACTTGCAAAATATCAGATGTGGAAGGGCTGGGATCATGAAAGCACACTTCCTCCAAGATGTAGACTCCATTTACCTGAAGTCTGAGAGACTTTCCTCAGCACCCACCACAAACCTCATGGCTCTCAGGGAGCCCCTGCACCTAACCCTGCCCTCAGGACCCCTGTGGGACAGGGTGACAGCAGAGCACCCTCAAAGCCAGCCAGCACTTACTGGGAAATACACAGACTGTTCACCACCAAGGGCCACAGTTGCCTTCTCTTGTTTGCCTCTCTACCCTGTTGTACTCATATGCTGACGCAGACAAGCACACACCTCACAGTAATTCTGGGAAAAACCAAGTATAGCAACCTCTTACAGACACAGAAATCAAGGTGAGAGCATCAGCAGTGATGGAGGGGAGGGAGAGTTCAAGTATGTTAGTATACTGGAACAATTACCCAGGTAACACTGTCTCTATTTGACAAATGTTGATTTTTTAAAATAAGACCTGTGTCTGAATCATGCAAACGCAAGAGGAGATTTCAGATCATTATCTTCTATTTTTATTTCTTTTACATCAGGGACCAACAGCCCCCAGACACGTTTTTCTTTTTTTCTTTGCTGCTCCCTGTTGAACCTTCCTTTGAATTCAGAGCATCAGCTTCACATTGGCTGTGCCACCCTCAAGGTGTGGGCTTCCTTGGACAATCAGCTACAGTCAAGGGACTGTTGACAGACCCACTGTTCAACACTCATTTATTTTAGGAGCTTTGGAAATATGTTTTCCAGACCAACAGATCTATAAACAGAAAATAAAGCCTGGGTTTCAAGTGGGTAGCATTTTTCTGATTCAATTGTACCTCAGCAATTGTAGAGTAGTTTCTAAGCCATTAGAAAGGGAACAGAAAAAGTAACTGAAGATGGGGAAGGCTTCCAGCATGAAATGCCAGCCCACATGTTTGCAGTTCACAGGCTCCATCACTCCTGACCAGCTGGAGACTCCCCACTCAGGACCCTCATTTTCAGAGCCAGAGCATTTGGCAGCAGTTGAATATCACATACTTTTGAGGATGTGACTTTGCAACAGCAGTAGTTCCAAACTGCTTACTAACTTTTGGCCATGATTTCCTAACCACAGGCAGCACGGTCATTTGGGGCACAGAGATCTTGATGACCTGTAACCTGCAAACATAAGCCTACACATCAGGGTAAGACACTGGCCATGCACATGCCCGTGGGGGTGACACATGTGCAACAACTCTACTATTTTGTCATGCCAGAAGTTGAAGGAATTGAAGGAATGGCCTCAAATTCCTCTAAGAACTACAGGGTTATTTTCCAACATTTTACCTCACTGCAGCTGAAAAAAATTACAATGTAAATATGTTTATATTAAAAAAAACAATCAGTGTGTTTCAAGTTGTTGGCATCAGAACCAGAGAGGAGTGTTACCCACCCAAGTGCAAGGAAGCAGGCATTTGGCATAAGCCCCTTACCATATACTCTCACAGTGGTGCTGCTCTTCTGGACTCTCTCCGGGTGATACCTCACGTGGCAGGAAAAGACCTTGCCATCATCAGTGATTTTGGTGGGGAAAATCTTTAGAGTGTTATTCAGACCCAGGCGGACTCTTTGCCCGTACACTGAGCTGCTGTTCCTGTACACGGCAGGACAGGAGGGCTCCTTGGTCACAAGTTCCTCTTTCCTGTTGTTGTCACCCTGTGAAAAGAAAAACCCACCGTATAGTGAAGGCAGACTGGACACACAGATAGAAAAATATTTTTGTAGGCCAGCTCTCTTCCCACTATCAAAATCTTCCCTCTCACCCTTAGCGTTGTGTAGTAGTAAGTGGACACTTGCAACATTTATTTTTTTTCCTGAACACATTCTCTCCCAGAACTTCAACACCAAGAGCAGTCATCTTCTTACCAATAAAAATATGGAGTAAATAGTTGTGTCTGATGAATCCTGATTTCTGTATCCTTCAGGGAGGGCCAACAGAGCTGCTTTCTCACTGCAACAGTCTTTAAGTTATGCTGAACATCCCATACATGCTAAACACGACTGAAATTTCAAGAAAAACTTTGCTCTTTGGGAATTTTAAGTAGCTAGAATTTGACAATACTAAGCAAAAGTCATCCCCTCTTGTTGCCTGTGTGGCAGCAACCCTTAGACATAGGTACAGCCTACAGATAGAGGTACATCCTGGACATCTGTGCCAGTACATATTTGCAAGCTTTACTCTGTATGACAATGGCAATCCACATATGTCATTGTGCTGACCCATGGGTTTTTTTTTCCATTTTCTTTGACCACTTTGTAGAGTGAACTAGCAAAACTAAAAATTAGGAAGGACAAGGCTGTTCCCTTAAAATTTCAATATTAAGAATGCGCTGCATAGGGGAGATCTAAATAGATAATGAACCAGGACAAAAGGTTAAAATACCTAAAATATTTGAAAATCACCTTTAGGAAAACCCTCAACAGTTACAGCTCCTCAGTGACAACAGATATAAATGAACAGGCAAAGCTCAAGGAACTGCTCGCTGATACTTATCTTTGTATGCTGAAATGAATGTTAAAAGGTTACATTAAAACATGCTTATAAATATTTATCCAGAGAGTGAGATAAAGTACAAAAATATAGCAAACTTTACATCTCACAGCAAATTGCTTTAAAATAGTTTTTCATGTGGTTAGCTTGATAACTAGGTTTGCATGTCTTCAGTGGGCATCCGTGACACAGAGGTTAACAAAACCAAAAACATTAGTCAGTACCTTTTTTTTTGTTATCTCAAAGCAGCCTGGTATCTTACTACCCTACACAGTAACCATGTATTTTTCAGATACTAAAGCCTCACTACAAAAAAAAAAAAAAAATCCCTGGGAAATCCAACACAAGAAATATTTTACTTCTGTTATATTTGCCACTTTCCATGGCCCTGCTCTGTGTGTGGTCCTGAAAATTGAAAAAAAAAAAAAAAAAAAAAAAAAAAGAATTTTACCTCTTTGTTTCAGCTATTATGGTGGGTATGTTGCAAGCCCATGTTTATATTTTCTCCCTTTTTTATCACAGTCCAACGTGACTGATATGCTTTGTTTAGCAAGTTCTACAGGACACACTAGAGTAGAACATTTCTATTTCAATCTGCAAAAATACCCTGTATTCCTTTCCAAACTTTATACCTGAGATGAAAAATACTTACCACTAGCCATTTCAAAGGATAAGTGGACAAATCTTCTGAGATCGTGTCCTCAAGGCATGGAATTTCTAAAGTCTGGTTTAACCACACTTTCTTCAGGTAGTGCTGCTCCTCTTTTATCATTGTAACAACAACAAAAAGCCCAAGAAGGAAAATCAGAAACATGATGTTCATTGTGCTTTGAAAACCAATGCTGACTAGTCTTTTGTTCAATGAACAGACACTTTTTTTGACTAGAATAGAACTGTAATTTTCAACCATTACCCATAGACACATTTGTTAAGTGAAAGCCCTACGTCTGATTCTAGAGGTAGTGTCATGGCTCAATTCACAGCTTTACCTGAATTTTTTGGTAATTCTTATAAAAGCTTTTCCTAACTGCAGGATCAAGATGTCTCCTTTTGGAGCTGAGAATAATTTGAAGCTTCAATTTTTCTCTAACATTTTTTTTCTTTCTGCAGCAATAAACCTCCACATCACTTTTGTGCACCCACATTTCCTTTCCTCTGAAGATAACAGCAGACCTTCTTTTCAATAAGCAGGGTATTCAGCATGTCAGGTTAACCCCTTTTTTCAGGGTAAGTGCTCCTGTTGTTATTCTCCAACCTGCCCACTTCCAGAAGCAGAAAACTTGTTACTCTTATCTGTTTGAAAAGGCATTTCAGCATTTCCTACCGTACCCATTCCCAGCCCAGGGCTCCAGTCCTGCTGTGGGAGGGCGGAGTGGTGCACTGGAAAGAGCACAGCTGTGGCTCAGAAGTCGGGTCTGTGTGCATGTGTGCACTCAAACAGAAGAGCAGTGGTGATGGGCTGGAGGTGCTGTGAGTGGTGTGGTCAGCACTGACCTCTCTGACCCCCAGCCGTGCAGAGGGTGATAGTGTGGCCTGCTGTGCCATCCTCCCTGCCTGCTGTGACCTGCCTTCCCTCTTCCCTGCAGGCAGGCACCAGCACACACCACAGGGAGACTCTTCAGCTTTGCTCCCTTGGTAGCTCTGGTTTGCATGTTGAGATAGAGTAGATATGCATTTCTTTTATTTTTTGTCTTGAGGGGAGTGAAAATATCTAGCTGTCTCAGACTGTCACGTTACTTGTCAGTGGGGACTTTGTGGTGACTGTAACTTCCTTTGTGTCTGTGCTTTGTATGCAAGCACAGAGCAATGGTGCCAGCACACAGCCTGTGCCACGGGGATGTGAAGAAAGGCAGAGCCCAGAGTTGTGACCAGGAGATCCAGTGGCAGAAGCAGCTTTCCTGCATGGTTCACCAGAGTGAACCAAGCAGCTCTTGCAGCAGGACACAGAGTGCAGAACACCTAATGGGCTGGATAATGCAGAAAGGATAAGGAAAGGACAAAAGAAGCAAATCTATAGCTTCTCCAGGAAGAAAGGTGCACAGGAGACTTTGCTGGGACACTCTAGCATGTAAAAGTGCCATGCAGCATACAGTAAGTACGGAGATGAGTAGTCACCCCAGGAGGTCAGCCTGCAAACAGTCTCTGCCTGTTCTCACAATCATGTCCCACCTGCTTGTTTCCCACCCCCCAACTCTGATTCCCATCTCCATTAACAGTCTGTTGGCTATGGTCCTCTGTGTTTGTCTGTCCTGTGCAGGCCTGCTGCTCTGCAGGCTTTTAGCAGTATCTACAAGCTGAATCCATCTGGATTCACTTCAGTTTGGCGTAGTTGGAAACTACTTTGTGAGTCACTAGCACCCTTATCCACTCCACTCATAGGCTGGATTAAGGGGGTTTTACCTTCTTTTGTGAGGAAGTGGTTCATTGAAAAAGATCTGGCTACCTTAAAATACAAACCTGCAAGAGGTAGCAAACTGAATTTTTTAGTTCTCTCTAAGCAAGCAGCTATCAGTATCACAGCTTACTACCTCATGCAGCTACCGAAAAAAGCCACAGCGATGCTAGTATGAACAAAAGCTGCCCACACTTAACACACAGATAGCAATAACAGTGTTGAGCATGCCCACATCAACTGAGGGCACCAGCAAGAGAAAAGGAGCGATGCCTGATTAGCACTGTTATTGTGTTAGGGAAGAGACAGAGAAACATGGTATGAGGAACAGAAGCACAGGAGGGTTTCACAGGGTTACCAGCACTGTTTGTACCTCACTGTACTCCCCTTGATCCAGCCTCTCTGCCCTGTGAAGCACAGGAAAATTCCCCAGGGGGAACCTACCATAACACACCTCTGTACAGGGGTTGCAGGTAGAGCAGCAGCTTTATCTTTGGCACAGTTATCCAGCGTGTACTGTTTAAACACCCATCCTCTGTGACTTGCACAGAGGTGCTGGCTCTCATTTTGCCCCTGTGAGTTCATCAGGGCAGGAAGGTTCCACAGGGTTGCCTGAAGTGTGTCGCCAACTTAACCTGCTTGCAGCCACCGCCATGCAGGGGCCATCAGGTTAAACATTCCCTCGTATGAGTCTTGCACAGAACCTCCTCCAGCTGCAAGACCTCTGTTGATCCAGCATGGGTACCAATGGCCCTCCTGCCACCAGTCTGGCCTCATCATGAAGCTAAAAGGGCAGTGGGAGCACAGCTGCCCTTTGCTACCCCTGAAATGACCTGCACCCACCCTGCTCCTAACCCTTGAACGTCTGCTACGCCTACAGCCCTGGGCAAAAGCAGAGTGAGCATGTTGGTTTTGCAGCTCTGAACTGAAACCATGCCAGGTTTGTTGCATTTACTTTAATCCTGCTTGGGCTGTTAGCAGAAACCTGGGTCAGGGAAAGGTTTCTGGGGTCATCAAATCCAGTCCCCCATGTGCACAACAGCAAGCTTGCTCAGTGTCCCTGCCCAGCTCCATCTTCACAGCAGTTTGGACTTTTGCCCTCACTGCTGACATGAAATAGCTGTTCCCAGTGTTGCTGCACTAACAATTGCCACTGTTGTTTAATTTGTAGTCAAATCCATTACCACCTATTTAAATCAATTTGCTCCTTTGCTGGGATAATTTAAATATCCTCCCTAGAGTTCACGCACTCCCCTGAGGCTTACTTACCACGAACAGTCATGCTGCCTTCCAGCTTTCTTTCGGCTGACAGAAGCAGCCAAGTCTCTGTTCCCGTGATTGTTCTAAGCAATCCCCTGTTTTGCTCAGTGTGTTTTTGACAGTGGGGACATTGAGCTAACACCCAGCATGCCCTGCAGATGCCAGCCCTCAGCCTCAAACAGATAATGGTGTTTTCTCTTTCTGATGCCCAACGCTGCACGCCCATAGCAGCAGCACAGCCTGGTTTGGAGATCCACCATCCTTGGTCCTGCCATATCCTGAGCTGCTCATCCAGTGTTCTCCGCAGCACGTTTCTCCAAAATAAAAATGCGGGAACTTCCCATCTCAACACCTTTTGGCCTTACTTCATATTCCTCCAAACAAATAAGCTTTTCTAATCATGAGTTGTATAACAACAACTAGAGAGGGCCTGGTAAACAGGAAACTGTAGCAGCGACATTCAGTGACATCCACTGCAAACTCCAAACAGGTCACCATCGCCGACCAAGAAATGTTTGTCTATCCTCATACTCTCCCCCACCCACTAGGATAAAGCAACATCTCACTCGTCATCACTTACCTTCTGCCTTGACAATAAGTTGAATTTTTGCAGCCTTTGTCCCATATGGGTAAGTAGCAAAACTGCACTCGTACTGCCCGCTAAGGGCGATGGTAACGTTTTTCAGATGCAGAGCCCACTGATTGCATTCAGACGGGGCGTTTGGATTGGTGGAACACAAAGATTCTGTGACATCCTGGCTGCAGCACTTCCTTGTGCTGAAGGACACTGAAAAATTGTAAGAAGCCTTGGAAAATTTGAAGTAATGAGTGCCATAAATGGGATGATGAACAGCTATTTTGGTAGACTGGCTGTCTTCGGTCTTGGACCACTGTGTCTGTATTATGTGGGTGGTGCGTGATTTTGGGAAGAGGCACACCAGGGTCACGTCAGTACCTGGCAGAGCGCTGACCACTTCTGTTTCAGTAAGGACATCTCTAGACTGGCCTTAAAAACAAACAGGATCATTTTCAGTGCAAGTAATGTTTAAACAAAGCTTTAAGCCATCTTTGACATGATTTGGTGCCTTAGACACAGACAACTATGAAGACCCTAAAACTGTGACCACAGGCATTCCAGGGAGGAGTTTTACAGCAAATCTCCACCAGTACAGACTGCAGAGAGAGAACTAGGAAAGCAAATGCATGTGTGTCTAGAAGAGGGCAGAGAGCTGCTGTCACGCTTGTGGGAGAGAAATGGGAGCTCTAAGGGCCTCTGTGAAAATAGGAATCTTTCAAGTAATATAAATAAAGCAGAAGCTGGGCCCAGTTATTCCCCAGCTCTTTTTGCAAGAACAAATGAGTTATCCCTGCTGGATAATTCCACTCCCCAGCGGCCCTCCTGCCCACTGCCATTGCCTTTACCTCCACGTTATTAAACATCTCCTGCATGGCCCAAACGAGTGCCTGTCTCAGTGTCAGAGAGAGTTGCCCTGGTATGTATGGTTTCTTCCTCAATTAATTTCATAAAGCAGGTGGCAGTCCTTAGTGTGCCATATAAAGGAGTAATGGATCGATGAAATGAAGGGGCTTTCAGCAGGAGCCTGTACTACTTGGTTTAGCTGCTGCTGTAGTAAAATTGATTTATCTCCCTTTCTCCCTCCTATGAGTAAGAGTCTTGCAGTCCCCAAACCCCCGTATGCAGGGTACTGACAAACTCAAGGAGATGAAGAATTTATGGATGGGGGAGTCGTAGTGAGACAAGTAATCAATCACACACACAGAGCCATATACAAAAAGTCCCTTTTCCAAAAGGGCATGCAGGTCCACAGAAAAAATGAGCTGTGCAGTTCCTCTTAGACACAGACTTGTCACACCCCTTCTACATTGGATTTTATCCTCCCTGTGTGTCATAATATCAACGTATATTTGCTGTGGGAATTTGCCCTGCAGTCCCACCAGGCTCACTGCTGGCTCCTCACAGCAGCAGGTGCCCACTGCTCACCCTTTGTACTTGAAAAAAGCGGGTACCCATTTCCTTGCTTTGACATTTGCTCTGCCGTGTAGTGCAGAGCTCTGGGGCACCTAAGCCAGGGGATGCCCTGTCAGAGGTCAGGCAACCTCGATGGTACCTGCAGTGCGTTCCACACTCTGCCAGCTCAGCCAGGAGCAAGACAGGGGCACAGTGCACCATCAGCTCTGATTGAACAGGGAAAAGGAACAAGGGCAGAGCACCACGTCCCCTCAGAGGTGGCTGAGATTTGGTGCCTATCCACTGAAGTGCGACATGGATACACAGATACCAGGTGTGGGGAGAACAAAGCTACTGAATGGACATGGCCAACATTAATCTCTGTTGTTTCATTGCTGCACTTGCTCTGTTGTAATCTTTTCATTGTATTCTAACAGATAGGATGATGTAAGTGGGTAAATAAAAACCAACCTGAATGACAAGTGTTGTGAGAAAAATTACTGAAAACTATTTTTGTCAGTCCAAGGAGATTATTATAGGAAATGCTCCCTGATTTCACTGCAAGTTTTGCACCAGTAAAAGGAAAAAGCAATTAGCAATCTTATGATCAGACTACCAGGCAAAAGACAACTAACAAGCTTACTCTCATATTCATGCTGGTGGTGTATGAGGTCAAAGAATCATGTAAAGAATGCTTATGCATTATCGCTTGAGGAGATTATATTAAGATGAAAAAGTTATATATGTAGAAACAACATTTTAATTTGTGTTATTTGTTATGAGCCTAGCACGTTAGGTTACTTTAACTGAAACCCTTTCATGCAGTGAAAGTGTTCTTAACTTTTTGTTAGCATCTCAATATAAGCATTCTCATTTTACGTCAACTTTGTTTTTCCAAATCAAATACCGTCCATTAGCTCATACGTGTATTCCAAATGAAATTTCTTCGAGTAACTCACAGACATTTAAGTGTCTGACCTCCACAAAGGGCATGGTGGTGACCACTTTCATCTTTGAGTGACTTAAGTGAGGATTTCATCCTCAGGAAAAAAACCCCAAGTCCTATTTTTCTCTAATTAGTATTGCTCTCCTGTGCATGTCTTGAGGCTTCTATTTGTTTCTTTGCATTCAAGAACTTCTATTTTGTATGAATACACATATGAATTATTTTTCCTTTCTTTTAAAATCCAGTTTACCTCAGTGATGAAGAAAATAAGAATAGGTTATGTCAGATTCTGAGATGCATATTACCATGCCAGTCAGATGCATGCAGTTCTTCCTTTCTTAACTGGAAAAATGTGTATCCTACAAAATTGTTCTTCCTAGCTGATAGTAAGTATTCCTGCATGGAACGTGATCAGACTTTTGGGGGTGGTAGGTGGAGGATGTTGAGAATATCAGGTTTTTTCTTGGTTTTCCTTGGACTGTTTTTGGTTTAAACTCCTTCTGACAGGGATGCAGCCCTCCTTACTCTACTTCTCTGAAAGTTTTACTCTGATGACAAACTTGTTTCTCAAGCCTTTAACACAGCACATAGAGCTGGGAAAGGAAGGAGAAGGGAAGAATCTATTTAAAGTTTTGCAGCTGTACAATTTTTCCTCACCTTGCAGTGTTTCAGTTCTTCCTCTCTCTGCATACACAGGTATGGCTGTGAGAGAGAGGTGTTGTTTTTTTCTTTTCTCAGTGAAGGCAGTTTTCATTTTGGCCCATTTGAGATGAGCACACATTGCCTGAAGTACACATGAGCTGATCTCATCTACTATTCTGGCAGGTTAGGCAATTTGAATGAAGTGATCTGCTAGTCAGCACAAGCCACTTAGTCCTTACTAACTGCATGTTATAACTAGGGTGATTAGAAAGCTGTCAGGAAACAGTAAATCATTGCCAGTAGCTGTGAGACACACTAGTGAGACACACAAAGCCCAGCCTGCCCCTCCCGACCCTCCATCATAAACTGAATCAAGGTGTCCCACGGACACTCCTACCTGTGATGCTGGGCACCCAGAGGAAACAAAAGAGAGAGAAGAGCCACCTTTCTTCCATCTTCACTTGATGAAGCTCTGCTAAGTATGTAGCTCTCTTGGTGCTCCCATCAGGCTCTCAGAAAAGGAAGTTGAGATGGTCTGCCCCGTGCAGATGCGCAACACAGTCACTTAGCATGACTTCAAAGAAATGCTTCATTAAATGTGAAAGCCTCAGTTTCCTGCCAGAGGGATAAAATTAGTACATCTTGTGAAACCTTTAAGTTGAAAACGTTGTCTACACTGCAAGCTCATCTTATAGACCAATTTTTTTCCTTTTGCCTTCTCAGATAAACTCAGAATAAGCAGTTTACTGGTTTACATGCTCTCAAAAATATGTCAGGTGTCTAAGGTTGAATATATAATTTTTTTGAGATATGACTTAGGGGTGATTATGGTGGTGCTAGGTTAGTGGTTGGACTTGATGATCTTAAAGGTCTCTTCCAACCTTGATGATTCTGTGTTTTCTGTGTACTACGTAGTAGCTAACATTAAAAAAAAAAAAAGGCTTTCTTTCCCCAGCTTCATTTCCTTTGTGTGTTAGTCCAAAATATCTCAGATATATTATTTCTAGACATCTCTATACTCAGTATCTTTAAAAACCCCAGCAAAATAACAAAACCACTCCCCTAAATTATAACAGAGTGAACTGAGAGTTTTCTACATTCACATTTTTTCCCTTTTCGTTCCTGAGAAGACCATTAATTATTTTCCGCAAGATGAAGAATTACAGCATTACACATGGCAACATCCCCTGATGTGGTTAACCCCTGTACCATCCTTCAGCTGTCAGCTTTGGTGACGGCAGCATCCTCAGGCAGAAGAGCGTGGTTCCTGCCAGTCCTGTCACCTGTCTTTATTGCAGGTCACCTGCACATCCTTCTGAGCTGTCCTCGAAGCACACTGCATTTCCAAAAGCTTGGCACCTGCCAGCAAAGCACCTCATTGCAGGCAGGACTTATGCAAACTGGATCTGCTGCTGGCAGCTTTTCAGAAGGAAGCAGGTCTGAGTTCCTGCTTAGCGTACTTGTTTCCCCAAAACCAAAAAGAGCAGGGCAGGACACCTCAAATACACAGCGTGGACATAGGCTTTTGCTGGTTCCTCCCGAGGTGGGATGGGTGTTTGGCTCCATTCTTGGGGGGCTAAGGACAACCCACCCTTTGGATTTTGGGAGAGAGATGATTACAGCCCATCCACCAGGGCAGAGAAGGTAAGTATCACAGTCCCTTAAATGGACTATTCTCTCTACAAGCAGTGCCCTCTCTTGGGTGGCTGGTCCATCCCTCAGTCGTCTGGGTCCTGACATGTCTTTTCCTGACATCTGCTCACCACGCAGCTCCTCATTGCTCCAGGATGCAAGGTACAAAGTGAAAAACTAAGTCCTCACTAGTCATTTTCCTGTTTTGTGCACTACCAGATGTAATAATAATGGCCAGTCTTCGCGAGCGAAGATCCGGGGAAGGTCTTTCCACCTTCCAGCCTGCGCATTGGATTTTTTAGGTGAGACACAGTGTGCGCGGAACTGAGCCCACCCTTTAATCCTAAGGTTCATCTGCCGGGGCCAAGCGAGCTTGGACAGTGGCAGCGAGGTCCTCAGGACGTAGGTGGGTTGCCTTTAAGGGCTAACGAGCCCCACCTGCCCGGGAGTGGCCCTGACCGGGAATCGAACCCGGGTCTCCGCGGTGATAGCGCGGCGCCTTTACCGCTAGACCACCAGGGGCTCCGCTACTACCAGATGTAATCAGCATCAATACCACTGTCCTAATTTGTGCACACACAATCTTTCACTAGCATGTTCAGAAGGGATAAAGGCTCCAGCTGGAACAGCTAGAAGTGCTGGAGAGGCTGCAGTCAAGGCTCCACACTTCTTGGAGGATAAATGCTTTTGCACAGTTCCTTGTTTTGCTTCCTCTACCTCATTAAATGCACTGGGTGCCCTGGTTACTGCTAAAGGAATTGTCTCTGGGGAAGAAACCTCTGCTTGTCATTAGAAACTCGATAGAGAGAGAAAGATCTGTCCCAGAGGATCAACAAGTCCTGAGGTTGAGCATGAACAGAATAGTCAAGCCATTGTAATTGACAGACACAGAAGGGAGTAAAAATTTTAAACAGTTACGTTCTGGTTTCCAGTTCAGAGCAGAGACCACAAAGAACCCAGAGATTACCTGCAGATACTAGAGTCAAAGAAAACTGGACTTTAATCTAAAATTTGGGCATTCATTCATGATTGCAGTTACCTTTACTTCTCCTGCTGATCAGGTCATGTAAGCTTTGTACCATGAGAGAATGTATTTTGTGTAACATGGAGCAAAACAGTCTTAAATGAGCCTTTTTATGGATCTGAAATATACATCGCAATTTGACAAGACAGCCCGAGTGCTGTGTGGCATATTCAATAGCCACAGAAATCCCCGAGCAGCTTTTTCGAGTTACTATGTCACTGTATGTTGCCCTTGGAATTTGTTCCCCTCTCCTCCCCCTCCCCAAATAATACTCTAAAAATACACTGCTGCCACGATCCATTGTGTTGGCTGAATGCAGCCACCCAGCGCCGTTGCTGTGCTTGGTGATGAAAGACAGACAAGAAAGAAATCCCTCAGCTCGATGGATTTTTGTTCGATTCAGAGCTGAGTTTTGCCCCAATTCCTACCTTAAGCCCAGATCCTGAAATAGTCATTCACCCTGCTACTGACATTCATGTGCATGAACAGCTAAGCCCTGCCTCTGCCTATGACATCAAAAACCACTTCTGAGACACCACTTACCTCAGCCTGCTGGCAGGGAGACACCTCCTCCCTGCAGCAAGACTTGAGGTCCTGCTCACAGCAGGGCAAATTATTATGAGAGCTTTTTCCCCTGCTACCCCTTTCCTGAAAAGTTACTCACAGGCAGCTTTGTAGATGCCGCAGTTGGATGTCACACACCGGGTTATGGATGGCAGGGATGAGAGGTGGTAGTGAAACATGCCCAGGGACAGCAGACCTTGCTGGTAGTTGGAAGGAGTATATCTCTGTATTTGGCTTTTCCTTGGTGAGGCAGCTACAGGGATGATTGTCTCAGCACTGGGATGTGCAGATTTTTCCCGCTGTTCCAGAGAGACCCCAGAAATCACTGCAAGGCTGGGAGGTTTTAGGGAAAAGAAGCTGTGCCCACGCAAGTGACATACCTTGTCAGTGGATATGTGAATCCCAGCATTTTCTTTTGGGCTGGACAAGCAGTTGACCTGGATGTTAGTTCCCTGTGTCCCAGGCAGTGGCAGGAACCGATGGGCTCTGAATACCATCCAGGATGGGTCCCCAGTAGTGCACTGTAGCACGGGGCTCTGCCCGCTGCACAGGGACACTTCAGGAAGCAATAATTCTTTTCCCCTTGAGTGAGAGTAGGGGGTGGCAGTGGGGGATCCTCAAATTATTTTCTGCAGATCTGTTCACCACTGGAGGAGGCATTTGGAACACTACAAATGATTCTTTCCACGGCAATCACCGTATTATGCATTATGCTCACAAAACCCTTCACTGCAATACAATTTTTCTGCCTCAATTACAGTAAGCTGCACCTAAGGAAGAAGCAAAGCTGCAGTCAGTCCCACAGAAAAAGAAATCTTGAACTCCAGAGACAAATTCAATTATTCACAAAGAGAGCCTTTTCAGAAATGCTAGTGCACGAGCTCTTCCTGCCAGAGGCGAGGATGATTACCCTTGCAGACTGGTGTCCTCTAAACATTGCTTAAAGAAAGCGCTGGTCCCTGGTGAAAAAGAGATGGAGACTTTGAAGCAGGAATTTCATGAAAGAGTAAACTAACCTTTCAGGTTCGCTTGGCACTTGGCACAGAAGCTCCCACTTCATTGCTGTGTTTTGGTTTTGAACCTCTTTGAAACTCGTGCTAATGACTCTGTAGCTGGCAGGCACCTTTGACCACAGCAGCTCGCAGGGGGGTTGGATGAGTGGGTGGCATGGGCTAGAAGGGTGGATGGGTGGGTGCAGCATTTCAGGGGACAGGGCACTGAGGTTGCAGTGGGATATCCACTGGGCTTTTCCAGTGACGCCTCTGGTTCCTCAGTCTCCCCCTTCCCACCCTTAGCTCTGGTGCCTCTCTGCAGCTGGCAGCACTGCCTCTTCTGTGTGAGGGAAGAGAGAAGAGGGTTTCTCACTCTGCATTCTTCTTGTGCTCCTCCTCCCTCATGGCTGCACACCTACCTACACACTGTGTTTGACACAGCGCAGCCCTGGTTCCAGCCGAGGTGTTGCAGCACAGAGAGACACACACACAACAACGATTTGAGATGTTCAAAGATCTGAGTGGACTTCTGTTCCCTACTCCTTCACTGACAGCTCAGACTACTGGGAGAAAACCAAGAACAGCTCAGCCCTGGATGCCTCCCTGCTCCACCTTCTCATTAGTTTTTCTAACTAGAAGGCCTAACTGACAAGTCATGTTTCCGAGAAAGGAGAGCATATATTTGGGGATAAATGGAGGAGAATGAGCTCCCTCACTTTTTCTGCCATTCCAGCCACAGGTCCCTGCAGTCCTCTGCTCCCATTTAATCCCATTTCTGATCAATGACTGTCCATCAGGAACCATACGAAAGCTGTTGTGCATTTCATGGTGCAAAGTGCAAGTTACTGAAAAAGCAGAGTATAAAAAGTGAAACCAATGAACAAAACAAAAGAAATATAAAGCACACTGACCCAGCAACTACACACCAATGCAAAACCTCTGTGTGAAAGCCACCCAGCTATTTCCAACAAAATGAAAGACTACAGAGCCATTATTTTCAAAATTAACTGGAATGCTCATGTGAGACCAGCCCTGCTTTCTTTGGCCTCTCTCTTTTCCAGATACAGCACAAGCTGTGCTTTCCCCCCCTGTTTTACACAACATCAGCTAAAGGCTATCACTTGCACATCTCATCTTCCACATTCTGTATTAAAATTTTTTGATGCAGGTTAATAACTATGTAACAAAAGGTAATGGAAGCCATAGCTTTGAAAAAAGAGTTACCTGCTGCCAGTGCTGGGAAACACCTGCTCCTGTTAGGTTAAGGTTTCCACGGAAGCTTCCCAGAAGGGCCATGTCATCCACTGGTCACTTTGGCAGCGTTTTCAGAGACAATGCTTGGAGCAGCTTTTGTGGGTCATGCCAGCAAGAGAGAACAGGAGTCTGTTCTGAAAGTCCTTTTTGTAGATGCAGCTTGCTGGGCTTTATCTTGAGATCTGCATGACAGAGGGAGTTACCAAGACAAGCAACAGGCCACTTGGTCAGAATTGAAAAGCTTAAGTTCACATCCAAAGTGGTATAAACCTAGATGGGTTGTACAGCTCATTTTGCCGTACAGACTATCTCCAATGGATTTGGCTCCCTGATTAATTTAAATTCCTCCATACTATTGTGTGCAAGTACCTTCTCAAAGACACGGATGTCTGTCCTGAGCTCAACACAGCACACTGATTAGAATTCACCACTGAAGAAATACATCAAATAGAAAGGATTAAATGCGTGAAAGTTGACTTCAGATACAGTATCAGTGACAATTTGAGGGCAGCAGCTGACTTTTCATTACAAAAAAAAAAAATCATTTACAACAAAACAGTGACATTGAGAACCATAATTTGGATTTCTTTTTTTTTTTTGGCAAAATATTTTGAAAGCATCAGATGTTAAGGAATTTGTTTGCATGCAGTATCTTTGTAGCCCTATAAATACCTTTCATGCTATCAGAAGCAACCATGGGAAAGTGAGATATTTCCCCATCTATAAACTTGTCCACTACACCCTGTCTCTTCAGGAAAGGTGGTGAAGTTTAAATGAGAAAAGCAAAGCAGAGATGGTTTCTCATGTTGAGCCTGACTGTGCAGAGAAGAAAATGTATCTCAGGGGAGCCTGTTTGGACTCCTGAGGTGCTTTAGCCTGGGGTCTTGCAGAGCAGGACACCTCCCCCAGGTCCTGGAAAGAGGGGAAGTCATCTCCAGAAGGCAACACAAAGGTGAGTGCACCTCAGATGAGCACAGCGTAGGGCAAGTGCATTCCTAAATCTGGGAATCTCAACAGAGTTACCAGCCTGCAGTTAGAAGGGATAAGTACAGCCCAGGAGTAGCTAGAAGGTAAAACGGAGAGTAGAAAACTTCTTGGATATTTCTGCATAATGTTATTTTCCACTCCATAAGCAGAGTAACATGTAGCTACTTCAGATGTGAAACCTTCTGGTTCACTCTGTGCTTGAAGGCATAATGTGAACCTGCCCTAAGGAGCCTGCAAGGAGTTTTTAGGGCTGCAATGTGCACTGAAAACATATCTCCTTCCAGAGTGCTCTTGGGCAAGTAGCTGAAGAAAAAGATGGGGAATTAAGATAGTTTTTAACAGAAAACGCTTTCAACATTCCATATGACTTCCTAAAGTTTCAGCAAGCACCAAAATTAAGAAAGACTTCCAGTTTTTGGTTGGTTTGTAAGGGTCACTGCCTGTGTGAAATAGATGTTCAGTTTCTAGATGAGTCTGTCACCTCCTAGAACAAACAGGAAAACCCTGCACTGCTATTTCCTGTTTCAGTGAAACTTCATATCCTAGCTAGTGGGGATTTAAAAGAGTCACCATTCACACATTTTTTTGTTTAAAGTAGAGAAGGGACAATCAATTAATGAAGAGCATCCCTGAGTATTACCTGGACTGGAGTTTTGGTTGTGAACAAAAAGTAGGTTAGCAGTCATCTCCTTTAGCCCTCCTCCCAGTCTGACCCTTTGTCCTCAATACTATTTCCATCCCAGTCACTGAAGTGTTCCCTAGCCATTCCCAGGAGCCTGCTTGTGACCCACTGACACGCAGGCACCACTCGACTGAACACCGCTCTTCCTCTGCCTGAAATGAGGTTATGCTTTAACTTCTCCACAGCTGATTAAGCCTAGCAATGCTGCTAATGGCAATGAAATCATTTGAGACCTCTAGCAGAGCAGTTAACTTCTATTTTGCATGATTGCCTCCATTTTCAAAATGAATATACACTGGCTGGGTGGGTTTAACTGCCCAAGCCGATGGGTGGCTCCTGGATGTTTCCAGACTGTGTCCCAGAAAGATCACCACTCTGTAGACAAGGGAAGCCACTCATGTTACCCAAGTCTTGTTTCCTCAAAAGGTTGAAGCCACCTTCTACCCCTTGGAAAATCAATGATTCAGTAAATTAATTTCAGTCTGGTACTGTAATTGGATTTTTTTAAAAAAATAAGCACATTGTAAGACTTCTGAAAGTCAGTAAGCTGGAGAACTGCACTGTGACTGATCCCAAATCAAGTAGTTTATTTGACGTTTTAATTGAAAATAAGAAAAAAAACCTCTCATTGCAGAACTGAACAAAGTCAGCTTGATGTGAATCAGACTCTCCAGAGGACTCTCCCCTCCCTACCCCTTGCTCAGCTGCATGGCCATCGAAGCACCAAACGTCATGCAAACTACAGCAGCCGTGGTCATTCTGGTCATCCTTTCCCCCTTTAGAATGGCACCGACTCACACGGCGTATTTCTCTAACAGGGGCTACTGTGCAGCAAAGAGATTGTCAAGGAAGGGAAAAGAAAAAAAGCCCATTACAGAATTGCATGAAAAACACAAGTTTAGAAGCACTGTAGATCTGTTTGCAGGAGGCTGGATCAAAATCACTTCAGGCTCACTTTAGTGATTTAGCTGAATACACCAGAGACACATTTGGCTTGCAGTGCTTCTGCCAAGTCGTGGTCTTTCAGGATGCAAGAGAAAGTACTGAGCCTGGGGATCAGTACAGCTGACCAGCTGCTCAGAGTACAGGTACAATTTTAGAAGTCTGATTTAATATCTGGTTCAACGAGCAATGCTCATGGCTAAATTGGAAATAAAACTAATCTATCCTTATTAGATTGGGGCTGTAATCTCATAACACCCTCAGATATTGGACTTCCCTGTCAGGCTTACTGCTTTGCACTGGCTCTCATTCCCAAAAAGCTGAAGAGAGCAAATTGGATAATGAAAGAAATGTAAGAAATGTAAGTTCAAAGAAAATTCATATATAGTTCAGTGGTTTGAACAGTAGAAGCTCTTAACAACCCACATATAAAACAAAGAGGGAAAGAAGCAGATGTGCTCCATTCACCCAGAAGGTAAGTTTTATTATACCAGTGTGGATGCTGCCCAGGTTTGAAAACACTGGGTGCAACAAGTGTATTCCTTGGAATTCTAGGGAATATTGCTCACTTTCCCTGAACACAAAAAGTACAGCCTTATTGGATTGGCACCTACATCAAATGCTGGTTGCCCACAGGAAAAAATTAGGTTTTTTCAGGGAATTAATCAGCTATTTCAAAATTGATAAAATATTGAACAGAGAAAGTATATTATCTATCTTAATATTAGAATTATTATCCATAAAAAAATATTAACCAAAAAATACGTTAGGTTCAGTTAATCTGACTTTGGCAAAAAATGAAGAATTAGATCTCCTGGTAGGTTCTCCAGCATGTCCATTTTTCAGTTGCAGTTTTCAGCAGTCTTTCTCTATGGGTGCCCTTTCCTTCTCTCACCAGAATCATGTTTTGCCACCCCCTGACCTGCTCCATTACAGAATAGTTCAAGCAGTCAGGCAGGTCCTCTGGAGATGGGGTCCCCAGGCCTAGGCGAGGGTTACCTCTCCAAGACCTCACCCATCTCCCCTCAAAAGGCAGGGATGACCAGTTTTGGTTTATTATTTAAACCCCTTGCATCAATTCTCAGAAAAAACTTCACCATCCATTGTCTAAACAAAACAACACAAGTTCCTTGCTAACAATAAACTTTTTCATAGGACCCGAAGCTAACCTAAGGGCTTGACATTTACTTGTTCACATTTTCTAGGAAGCAGGCTTCAGCAATCCACTTTTAAACACCGCAGAAAAGCCTATATTTCTTTCCCTGGTTCCCCATGCTGTGTACTTTCTCTTTGGGAAACTGCCAAAGTCTGCCTCAAGAGGCTGTTATTTTGCTCCAAGAGACGGAAATCAATCAATCAATCCGTGACTTGGCAGCATCAGAACGGGAGATTAGGACTCTCAAGGCAGATTATAAACACAATCCCCTCAATTAACTTCCCTGGGATGGGCTAGAGGCGGTTAGATCCTCGTTAAGTCAATTATTAACACGGATGGCCAACAAGCATATTTTTTTATGACAAGTCTTATTAATTTCATGTGCAAAACAGACATGGGCCAAAGCTTGCACCCTTTACTGTGGTGTGGGGAGAAGGGCTGGTGAGGGCACCTCTGGCCTCACCTTTTGCTGGCAGTCTCCTGTGACCTCCCAGTGAGAAAGCTCAGCAGGCATCCGTGGTCCCTACCCTTTGCTTGGAGAATTAGTTGAAGGAAACGTTTTGTGCCTGTGTAGTTTAATCCATAACTACATAGCTCTTGGTCAGTTTTAAGCACCCAGTTTTCTGGGCCTGAAAAAGCTTGCCAGAACACAGGCATTTTTTTTTTGCTGCTCAAAGCAGGCACCAAAAACTTGTGCTTAAGTTACTCTGAAAACTGAGCCCTGATGCAGCTTTGCTGCCAATATGATCATCATACTCAGAATGCCCTTCTGTAATATCCCATTGTATTTTTAACAACAGAACTTCACCTGCCTTCTTCCAGACTTTATCAGAATTTAGCCTTACAATTATGTCTGCTACAGTTTATCTTACTACAGAAAGCAGATACTTTCAGGAGGGTGGAAGCTCCATGTGGAAGTCACTCTTTTTTGGGTCTCAGACTTTGCACATAAAGGCCAGTTTCCCCTGCTGGTTTGTACCTTAGAGGTAGCTTCCTCATTTGAGTTACAGCATCAGCCTCTCTATGTGAAAAACTAAGGCATTCATGGCTCGGCCAAAAGGGCACAGAAGCCCCACCTTCACACTGAGCATAGACTGAATTCCCCTTCCGGAGTTCAAAGGAAAAAAGCTGAACTGTGACCCAGAAAGACTGAGATTAGTTTAAAAATGTCCTGTTCTATGACACAGCACTATATCCATGGTCCCTGCTCAGCAATAATTTATTAGAACTCCTTCCTGCCTGAACAACATTTAAGGGCAGCTAAATGAGCAGCAGCACTGGCAGGCAGTATCTTGCACTGTCCTATTGAGCAATTAAAACTGTGCCAGGCAAGTGTCTGATTTAACCTTTTGGTCAGGCTCCTGTAGCCTGTTGAAATCGTTCAAGATCCTGGCAGTATTGCTGACCTCCAGAGA